ACAAGATATGTTGGGACCTAATATCAAGAGTACCGAGAAGAGGGTCCCAATTAAGGGAGAAAAGTTCAAGCAAGTGTAATTGTATATGATTCACGTTTTCTATAATTATATTTTCGCTTGCATTGCTTTTAAGAAGAGGAGAACAACATAATTTCTTGAGAGAGAGGATATGCGCCATCGATTTTGGAAGGATGGGCCTCCCTCCCCAATTTAAGCAATTTTTGAAATTGACCTTGGATTTACATGATTTTAGAGATAGAGGCGGGGTGGCCGAGCGGATTAACACGTTTGCAAAACAGACATTTCTCGGCAACTCGATAAACTCAAAATTACGAGTTTGGTTCCCGGTGCCGAGGGCTTTTAACTGTGGCATTCAGAGGTGGCCATCCCCCCAAGGTCGATGGCGTAGGAACTCTTCCTTCCCTCTTAGGAAATTTTGTTTCTTTCAGTTTTAAAAACTGTGAAAGCAAAAATAGAATTAGGAAAATCGTAGATCAATTGCACTTGCGGTGGTCTGATCCATATTTCCCCCTTGTTTCCTGGTTTGATATTTTTCACTTCGAAAATTCATAACCCCGTCGAAATGTGCACCTCAAAAATTTTGATGGCGCAACTTGCGACATGAAACCTCCTTCTGGGTATCTAGATATATTTAATAATCTGGAAAAAAAAAAGGGTTCCAATTGAACTAAACAAAACATTGTTAATAGTCGTGAATAAGTGGCTGTTAAAAAACTGTTAATAAGGAATCAGATAATTAATGCCTTTCGTCATTATGTTGTTAATTTACTATATCTCTTATTTTTATAACCATATAGTGTATAAATAAGTAATCAAAATAAGCCGTTTATAAAAGAAACAATCAAACATATAACAGTTCTAACAATTCTTAGAAAAATACATTAAGAAAACATGGCATCCATTATGACAGTAAGCTTTATCCTTACCTGTAGGCCATTGTTCACCTTTTACCTGCTCTACCCTAAGTACGTACACTTCGGTATTTGTAGGCAATTGATGATCTGTGAACGGTATTGAGTGTCACAACTTGCTTTAGGATTCCTGTTGGTACAGGCTTGAGGTTTATTATAAATCAATTTGTACCGTTCAAGAAATACAACACGACTTAAAAGTGGACTGTTCCATGACCTACTATTTGTAGGTTTTCGAATTGTAATTCGACATGACATGTCATAGTATGCTTCCAAATGTTTATTTCTTCAATTGTGTGTACTTTGATTTAATAAATAACCAATATTTACTATTTATCAGAAGTTTAATATCATAAAGATAAGTAAATACACACTTTTTTAATTTTTTACCGCTTTAACCTTTTCTATCTTTGGATGGTTGGGATATTTCTTTCTAGTTATTTACATACAGCTTCATCACATTTTTGTTGATTCGATCTATTGATATTGCTATTGTCCTTTCACGTAATTTTTTGTATAATACGTGTTAACACCCCGAAAATCCGTAATGGATTGTTCCGAATTACATGAACCACCCATCTTAACTACTTTACCTTCATATCATGAGATATTCAAGGTCCAGTTTCTATAAGTAGTTCTTTATTGGTCGTTCTGATCAATGCCTCTGATCCAAGATCGCTTCTTTCTGTGGTGCTAATACAAGGAGTTTTGTATTTGTGAGGATATTTGTATTTCTCTATTTTCTGGAACGATTTCCCATCTACTCAGATCTTGTTGTTAGAGTGGAATTTTCGACTTATTTTTATTTTAGTTATGTTTTATTTTCATTTACTTTACGACCAATTTTCAGTCCTGCGCAGTTCTAGAGATCCTATCAAAGTCCTTCTGGATGTTCCCAAGAACAGGTATATCATCTGCATATCCAAGAATTTTATGATTTAATACTACATGCATCCCTCAATTTTCTGGTGATGTTCTTATCACCTTCTGCACCATTAACTTAAAATACGTCGGCGAGAGTCCATCTCCCTGCCGCAAGCCAATCCGAACTATGAAGGATTCAGATGCTCCTTGTATTAGGACTCGACATTTACGGTCATTTTTAAGTAAAATTTAAGACTTTTAATTTTGAAAAACCTTCTATCAGAAAGTAGCAAAGTTTTAGTAATGTTTTATATCTAACAGATATTATTTATTAAAAATTATTTGCATTCCGTGTAATTTTAAAAGATGAGTTTTTTTTCTGTAACAAGAATTACTCTGAAAGAAAAGTAAATAAATGATATACAATTTTAGATTTCAGGGATAATTATTCATATTTTTTTCTTACATTCAGCAGGTTAATTTATACGTTATAATTTTAAAACATTACATATAGTAATTATTTAGCTTAGTTGTTTGGCAATAATAACTTCCAGTTGTTAACAATTGAGTATATTTTACTATCAACGTTACATGTTAACAAGTTAGTTGATATTTAGGGAAATTTATTCCCATCTTCAGAACTGCAATCCCAATACTCTTGTGGATATAAGGCTGAAAATTTTTTAAGTTATAATATTGTGCTTGTTACGTTACATATTTGAATTATGTTTTTTACAATAAATTTTTAATTACCTTAAATTTAATAATAATAATAATGTGCTCCATCGTCAAATTTCTAATTCATGTTCTAAAATGTATCATCTACAGCAACATCCTCCTTTTGACCAATGATTTGGGTTCTGCCATAGTGAAAAAATTGACCTTTGGATCTGACTGTTTTATCTGACTATTTTTATTGTTGTTGTTAATGTTTATTTTATGTGTCTGTGATTTCACTTCTATTAAATTTTAATTTTGTTCAATATGTCCGTATAATGGGTTCCTAAATGTTTAGTGTCTGTTTTGTAGTTGACTGTTGTTCTGTTGTTTTTTGTAATGTGTATTGCTTCAAGTAATTTTCTATTGGTGTTTTTTGGTTCTGTGCCTATTATCTGTCGTTTGTTAAAGTTAAATTTATTCTGTAGTTTTATTCTGTATCAACAATATGATGAATGCTAATAATTATAAAATAATATGAAGATATTAATTATCTGGGCAGAAGAAATATAAAGAACAGCAAAGTGTATTTCGATTGCTATTTTTAAAATTAACATAAATTTATAAGGACGTATAATATAAGAATAATAAGTTGGTCGTTGCGTGGAATCGATGAAGAAAAAGAAACCAGTGAATTTTTCTTGCATGCCAACTTCTCGACCTACTTTATCTCTCTCCATCAGGGCTGTTTGAAGGTGTCTAAGGACGAGAGTGTATGGCATCTGAGTATTTCTATGGATTCCAAAAGGAAATATAAATAACTGTTATGTCACCTTGAGAACTATACAACTCTCTTTGGTATCCGTATCCTTTCGGGTCTTTAGACGACCGATGTATGTATGACCTTTCGCCTGTAACTCCTGAACCGTGGATCGAAGCGAAAAACTTACTGTTAGAGAAATTAAAAAACACTAAATTGTGCTTCAAAATATTTCCCAAGCCTAATTATTTGGTTAACCACGGTCAACGAACGTTGATTTTTGCCACATTTGTCAAAAGCTAAGGTAAATTAATATAAATAGCCCTGTAGCTTGGAAATGATTTCACTGAGTTCACTGATTACTAACATTAAAGATTTATGCAAATTCTGTTCAACATATAATGTACGATACTCTTTTATATTTTACAGATACCTGAATAAAGAACTAAATTATCACTTATCGATTCAGAATTATTACTATGCTTTTGCGACGTATATAGATATGTTAACGGAATAATTCATTTATTTAATTACTTCAAAAGAGTCTTATTTATAATTACCGTTTTTTTCATTTTTTTTTTTAACGGTATGAAAAATGATGGCTGACCAAATTTAATAGGAACAGTTAAAATGTTTTTTTGATATTGGCCTCAACATTAGATTTGTTTTCATTTTACATAGACTAGTCTTCCAACTGTATATAACATTAAAAAATTAATTTAGGGATGAAAAAATATTTAATACAATATAACAATAACAATATAATATAATAATATTTAATAATATATAATATAATATAATAATATTTAATATAACAATTTCATTTTACTTATTGATTTTAACAGATATAATCAGCCTACAGGTAGTTACAAAATATTTAAAAAATGTTTATATGTATATGTATATTTATAGGATTCATGCATCTGGCATCTTAAGCACCTTGTATACCAATCAATCCTATTAAATGCGAGCAAATATGTTTTATAAGTTGATAGCGAATACTTCAAAAGTAGATCTATCTATTTTATTTTTCTAGTAATTTTTTTTTCCCTCATTTTTTATTATCTTTTTTACCATCATTACTTATGTTTCTCATACCTTGTTGTCTGGTTATTTTCTTAGCCCTGATGAAGGCCTGAACTTCAGGTCGAAACGTCGGCATATGTAAAAAATAAATATTATAATTTATTTTTTGCCTTCCTTTTTGACTGAGCACCCCAACTATTCTTCTCTTCATTATCCACAACAGTCAACCAATTACCAATTATGAAAAAATATTTAATATAAAGTAGAAAAAAGGGCCTTTATAGTCACATAACTAAAATACATTTTTTAAATTTACCCAAATTTTAACCTCTTCAGGAATAAAATCCGATTTTACAATATATGTTGAATAATCATCTGAAAAAATTATATATAAAAATTCTCTCATAGGATTTGCAAGTAGACATTAATTAGCCTGTATGAAAATTTAGATAAATTAGCATAAATTATTTTAATTATGGAGACTATAAAGGCCATTTTTTCTACTGATACTTATTAAAGTCTCTTTCACATTATCATATTTTATTAGAAATATTTAAATATCTATTAACCGGCTTTATAATTTATAGAACAATATATAAGTTTTGTTTTGTTTTTTAAATACAATAATACTATATAACAAATCCCTCCAACATCTGTCAGGTGCAGACATGCCTACAAGACCCGTGGCTGCCCCCTTTACAGAAAGTAAGAAGGAGAGGGGAGGCTCGACCTACAGGCAAGGCCGCAGTTGCTCAGTGTTAACAGAATGGTGAGGAGCTTCGCACAGTGGACCAAGACCCTCAGTTTCCCGGCTCGACTGAGTCCGGGGAAGGCCAGTGGATCACCCCAAAGCAGTCAGGATGTAACCACCCCCGTCTCCAGCAACCCCGATGTAAGTACCATGTCATATAAATATAATACATGTTTGCCTAAGGATATGACGAAAGTTATCACTTAAGTTCATTCTAGGAATCGTAGAAATAATACTGGGGTTGTTGTTAACTTCAAACTAGATGGATAAGCTGGTAGAGTTATTGGAATACTGCAGTATAATGTTACAATTTCCATAAGAACATCATAAGTGATCACATGTAATTTCTAAATCTAAATCCATGAAAAACAGATCCATTTCAGGCTTTGATCGTTACTGATGATTAACAGTTATCTTATTTTAATAGCCTCAATATCGTGCATAATTATGACAACTATGTAAATAGTTCATTCATTAAAATCATTAATGGGAATGATGTAAGAAAACTTAGTAAGATAGTAAGCAAAATAATGAATCTATTACTACAGGACCACACGATTTCAAATTAGTATTCCAAAATACTTGGACTAAATGTAATTATAAATAAGGATTTCTCAGCACTTCTGAAAGTGAATTTAGTGATTAACTCGACATATGATAAAAATGAGTAAGATCCTATCACTTGGTTGTCACGTTATTTGTTATCTTTTTAAATAAGATGAAAATTATAATTCAAAATCTTTGTTTTTAGTTCGGTGTCAAATAAACATTTTGATCGTTCCCTTGAAATTTGGTGATTTTATACTATTACTGTTTCTCCTTCGCCAGCTCTATGTTTTTATAAAAGGAAAAAACGATAATTATAAGAAAGACTATTTTGAAGAAATGAATTCTTCCAGTGTCATATTTATATAGGTTGCTAAATCATTGTATTAATACCGAATCGATAAGTGATAATTTAGTTCTAAATTCAGATATCTGTAGAATATAAAATATTATCTAACGTTATGATATGTTGAACAGCATTTGCATTCTCCAATTAGTTTCATTCTGATAAACTTTAATTGATCCCACTTGTTTGTGTAGCAAGAACCTGGTTACCTATTTATTCTTTGTACCATTCACTTAGCTAACCTATCGTTTAATTAGAGTGCGTCACACTAATCTAACATTGGGTATATTGAGGTTTTTCACCTCCAATGAAATAAATTTAAATTTCGAATTTAATATTGTTATTATGTATACTAATACTACTGAGTTATAGTAAGAAAACATCCCTTCAGGGGAGTTCTACTTTCCTCCAGTCCGGCCCATCTTACCATATGACGTCAATGGAAAAAACATCTGTCTTCGATTTCGAATGGTGACCGATAGATAGTTGGGTTTGAGAATGAAAAATAATTGTTTTAATTTTTATGGGGTCTTGTTTAATTAAGATTTTATTGAAACATTGTGGCTAAGCTTTGAAATATACCAAGAACGTACATGATAAGTTGATAGCACCACCATGCGTTTATTAGGGTAATGTGCTGTAATTAATAGATGGTGGTAGGACACGTGACTAAAGCAGTAATTGTGATACAATTTTATGGTTCTCTTATCGTGAATTTTAATTAAGTTCTTAACAACAATACAAAAAAAAAGAAGTAAATAAGCAACTTCTAGATATTTCTATTTCTGGACTATATTTCTAAATATTATAATAAAACATCCATATTAAATAATAATAAAAAAATAAATTAAAAAACTATTTATATACCAGGAACTCGAAAAAATCAACCAAACATTCCCTGCTAGAGTATATTTCAAAATATTTAAATTTATATAAGTTTTCGGGATACACATGCATAGGATTTGAATCATTTAGCTAAAACACTCGTTCTTCTTTTTGCAGTGTTTATTTACAAACGACCACTAAGATGCGTTGACCAATAGATGACGTGCAGTGTACAAATATTTACATAAGACACACTTGCACAAGTACACACAACCTGCATTAGTGTAACCCCATTATATTAGCAAAGCCCATTTCATAACTATTTAGTATTCTCGCAATAGTTTTAAAGCACTCCAATTTTATGCTACTTCTAAGAATATATGAAGTCCTAAGTCAATTAAACTACAATCGGATTTTTTTTATTTGTAAAAAAATCAAACAATCACAATTATTTGTATTGGTTTTTTATCATCTATTAAATATATACTCAGTCAACATTTCTGGTGCTTTGATTTTAAACATTATTGAATAGTACTGTTTCATAATCATTTGCTGAAAAACTATATTTTTTTATTATTATGTAAAGTATTTTTGATTAACTTTAGAAAGAATTAAATAAATATTTGGAGTATATCGGTAGAACTTTAAAGCAAGGCCTGAAAAGAAATTTTAAATTTTATTTTCATATACCAGTTTCTGTTTTACTTGAGTCTTTATTTTTTATTATTATTTTTTTTTTTTTGCTGTTAATAAGGATCTAGAACTTTTCCCCTTGAAAATCGCAAATGCCTTACAGAAATTTTATTTAAAAAATTGTTTTAAAAGTTTTGTTGATTTCCCAAAAAAGTCTCGAAAAAAGACAACTTCTGTTCTTAGCTCAAACAAACAAATGACAGATTAGAATCAAGTAATCCATTTAAAATAAGTTACATTATTAATCTATGCCCAATTACTGCCCATTTAACTAATTTTTTTATAACTTAATTAAAATGTTATACTTTAATCATAAACTTAGAACTTTATTACAAAATAGTTCCTTAGAACTTTTATTTTTAAAATTTTTTTTCCTAAAATGTCTATTAGAAATTGTTGAAGTGGACATTTAAAAAAAAAAAAATCCACAATAGTTTAAGCCCCTGGTTGTACATTAACTAAAAATAAATGGTATATGTTTCTATTGTTAATTTTTTTATTCAGTTAATCTTGTTTAATAACAAACATTTTTTTTCTTATTCATACAATAAGGGGATTGAACAATTGATGGATCAGTTTATTGATCATGAAATCGATCCTTTAGCCCTAACCCTCTCCGTGTAAACAAAAACTGACAAAGAAAATGCTTTTTTACTTCCTCGTAACGACAAAAGGTGCGACTAATAAGTGATGTGGAAAGGAAAAAACTACCAATAAACTACAACAAAAGATGTGAAGGTCCTTAGGAATAAAGGATAGCAGTTAATAGAATAGAGACGGGAAATTACAGTTGTCAAACAGGTCCTGTGTTTATCAGCGATGGGCAGTTCCCACGATCGGGCTGGCCTAGATGTCTTGGACTGGTACCTGAGTCAGCGCAACTCGACTCCTACCAGCGGTTTCCAGCTTTGAGTCCTCAGGGTTTTCCATTCCCTTTGTCATAGGATACCCTCGGTAACGTTGGGAGGTACGGTAATTGTTCTCTTTGCTGCATTTAAAACAAAAAAAAAAAGTGTTGACACCAGCATTGCTTGCCTGCATATGTTGCATAAAAAAGTTTCGTTCTCATATTCAGGAACACATGGTTTTGTTATTTCTTATACAAGATGTTCGAGAAAGAATTTCTTAAGTGAAAAATAAATCACAAGTACGCTGATATCGCATTCGTTTCTTTTTACAAAAAGACGTAATTCTGTTGGAACACGTTATTATTTCTTAAATTTATATCATACACAGTTCCAATATTTTTATAAGCACCATAAAAAAGTTATGTTTCATTATAAAAATAAGCAGTAATTCGGCATATATTACTTATATAATTATTATGAATGAATTGCCTGATTCTTGTATTAAGAATGTACTGTGCAATAACCAATTTTTCAATGTAATCTATGATGAAATAAATTAAGGCAACAGAACTTTTGAGTAAAAGCTTTCAAAAGTAAAATTAATATTTAAAATTTCTACCGGACAAGGTTCCTGTTTCGACAACAATAAAAACAAATATTTTTTTTTAATCCAAGCTTTTATTTTTACAAAATATTTAAATCTTTAAACTTCAACATATGTTCAAATCAGAGCGAATAAGCATATTTATTTATGGCTTGACAAGGAGCATCGGTTGTTTGGAGGTGAACAAAGGTATTATCTGCGGAGTTGGGAAGGGGAGGAGGGTGCGGTCAAATGAATACTACATATTAAAATAGTATTTTATTGTTTACGCTGACGTTTCGACCCACTTTGTAGGTCTTCATCAGGGCGTGGTTACGGTTACTGCAGGAAGCAGTTGGTAGACTACGTGATTATAATTGGATTGGTCACGAGGTACGGTCAAATGAATACTATACATTAAAATAGTATTATCGTTTGCAAAGATTGTTATTGTTTTGTCAGGATTGGTTATGGATTTTTTTTTACAGCTTGCGTTTAAGTCTAAAGTGATGGATTATGACGTTTAAATCTAAGTATACCTTAATGTGCTCTTATATATTTCTATTTCCGTTAGCTGATTAAAATTATTCTAGGGAAATAAAATTCAGCTTTATTTATCCTCGTTGGTAACAGCGTGATATAAAATTGTCTACACCATCCGGCATGACTGCATAACCATTAATAACACAAGGATGTTGAAGACGCTTGCCAAGTCGTGAGCGCAAGTACTACTTTCCCATAGATATCTTGCACCACGCTGCGTGAAATGCCAACTCCTGAAACGTTAGCTGCCGTAAGTGGAGTCTTGGATCGGTCTGTCATAATCTTTTAGCGGAAGAAGATGGGAGTATTAATTGGCTGGTAATGTACGCCTTTGGTAGGCATCTTCCTCTTGAGGAGGCGCTGACCCTGTGCCTGTCGCAACATGTGTAACTCTCACCCCCCACCACCCACCTCTTGCTCATCCGGCCCATCTTTTGGGTCCCCATTTCTAACATCTGAATCATTACTAAGTGTTTCCATTGCTTGGTATTACCCCTGTGACCGTTAAAATAATTACTGTAACAGAAAGGTCATTGAGGCTTTTAAATTAGTCGTCGCCTTTTTAAGACAACCATTCTGTATAGGAGTCATACATTAACTTATTTTTTAAAGTATCAAATGTATTAAGAGTAGTTAATTCAAGACATTTATTTACATAAATATTCATTTTTTTATACACGAAACCTTCTACATGACTCTATAACTTTGTTTTGCATGTTATGTTCATATTTTGTAAAACAAAGCCGACAATAAGAAC